CCGCCGGGGGAGGGGTGAGCGAGCGGCGTGTGGCACTTAGCTACCGGCTGGGGCTAAACCACATCACCTGTATAAATTGTCTATACATAATTTAGAACTTACTATTTTTATGCTTTCAACCAAGAAGCTAGTGACACTGTGCTGAAGAAATAATTTGTGTAAATACTTACATTAACAAATGTTTGACGTATCACTGTCTGTGCTGTCTCATTGGTGGCTACTAAACAGACCTTTCAAACTATCCCTTAGGTTCCTGATGTCATCAGCAGCATAAGACAGGTCTCCAAAGCAGCACTGAAAGAAGATGCCAAACCAAGTAAGGACAGTGAAGATGCCTTCTATGACTCTCAAAAATTTGAGGTCTTGTACTGTGGAAAGGTGACCGTGGCTCACAAGAAAGCTCCCTCCACATTAATTGACGATTGCATTGAGAAATTCAGCCTTCATGAGCGCCAGCGCCTGAAACTATTAAATGAACAGCGGAATAATGAGTCAAGCTTGGACTTACCCCTGTGTGAAGGAAATGCACCAGCTTCTCCATTGGATAGCCCATTTGAGGAGCTGGACAGCCCAAATAATGCCACAGGACATGCTGCGATGTTTACAATTGGCAGCCAGACCAACCTGACCAACCTGGCCAGCACTCGTGGCTCCTTTCCAGAGCGAATTTTAGAGGACTCTGGGTTTGATGAGCAGCAAGAGTTTCGCTCCCGGTGCAGCAGTGTCACTGCAGTTATGCAAAGAAGGGTTCATGACACAAACCTGAAAATACAGCCACGCAGAAGACATGCAAGTGCACCCAGTCATGTTCAGCCTTCCGATTCTGAGAAGAACAGGACAATGTTGTTCCAGGTGTGTACTAGGATGAGCAATTTTCATGTTGGTTTTGCACTGTATCTTTTCCTGTGCAGTTTGAAGCTGAGACAAGTTTCGAAACTTTAGTAGTATGGATCCAGTATGGTTTCATGATTTGTCATATTTATGTATCTGTTCATAAAGAATTGGAACACAAGTAGCTGAACTTTCTCAAGTCACCTCAACTTGTGAACTCACGAAAATTTTAAGAAAAAGGAATTGCCTATTGAGTAATTACTTACAGGAGCAGAGCTTCTAGGGAAATAATTATTTTATGTGCCATTCTGGTTTGTTTGTATTGGTGAGACCTAGGACCTAGCTGAAAAAAGTGGTAGTCTTTCAGAAAGAGAATCGATGAAGACTTCCATGTGAACATATCCTCTTTTTTGTGCAATTAAAAAGCTCAAAACTTCACAGAAGGCTTTCACAGCCTTATGTTTGGGCCAGCCCGTTTATGATAATTTATGTTAATGTTCAGCTTGTCTTTCCCAGATGAGAACTCAAACATCTCTGCACTGAAGGCTTCTTCCTTCAGACCTCAGTGTTATTTCTTCTCTTGCCTCAAGTGCATTTGAGGTCTTCAGAGCTTGTATTGAGAAAACAAAAGGGCACTTAAAGGAGGTGACCCATAAAAAGAAAGATCTTTGGACCTTAAAATAACAGGGGGCTAAATGCCTGGGTTTTGTCTTTCCCTTTGCTTTAAAGATCATTCTTGCCTTTTATTCTCTTGGGGAAATGCTAACTGAAGTGAGAATGCATTGCACTTTAGAAAGCCACAGCTATCACTAGTACTGAAAAGGATTTAGCTGAAAAACTCCCTGAGGTCTATGGAATTAGTTCTATACGGTTTAGAAGCAGTTTGGGAAAGCTGAAAGATAGCTTGCTGCAGGACCTGCTCTTTCTCATCCAAAATTATTACAAAACCAAAAAGTATCACCTTAAGAGCAACATAGTGTCTCAGCTGATCTACAGTATAGGTTGTGGTCTGTTGTTTTTTGGTTTTGGTGTTGGGTTTTTTTTAAAAAAAAGCTGACATTGTGGTGGTTTTTTATTGCAGCTTTTAATTTAGCCACATTGTTTAGTGAAGGTTTTGGTATTGTCTGTCAAACACGTGATCTTTGGACCAAAATAACTCGAAAAGAAAAGGGGTGGGAGGAAGCTGCCTTCTTTCCAAGTCTTTTTCCTATTCAACCGTTTGTATTGTTCTTGCTGAAATATTCTTGCTCAACATAGGATGAATTATGGCACCCTCGTTCTTGCTGAGTAAGCTGTTGTGCTGAAGGTACTCTGTGTGAACAAGAAAGGGCTAGATTGTGACATTTTTGTTGCTTTTAACGTTGTGCCTCCAAGACAGTCATAAACTAGACTTATTTTTCTTTCCCATCTGTACTGCCCCTCAGGTTGGAAGGTTTGAAGTTAACCTTATCAGTCCGGACACCAAATCTGTTGTGCTTGAAAAGAATTTTAAAGATATCTCCTCATGTTCTCAGGTAAGCATTAATAAGAAGCCACATGCGAATCATCAGGAGAAAAGGAATTTATTTGTTCTTCAACTGGGTTGCCTTGCTGGTCTATGGGGAGCAGAAAAAAAGAAATGTAGATTTTTTTTTTTTTTTAGCATTTTGTGCTGTTTTCCCTTATTCAGTCTCAAAGGCCATTTTTAAACAGTTTCTCCTATCTAAATTACCCTGAATGAAAGTAAATTGCTGTTTTACCCCATTGGCTCCTTAATTAAAAAAAAGAAAAAAAAAAAATGGAGGGAGGGACGTTGAGCGATTGTGACTAACGTGTATATATATATCCTGCACAAAGTTTGATGCATCAACTTCTTTGGGGAGTACAGCTGAAGAAATTGGATATTAAACTGTGATTGCTTCATGAACGCTTGCAGCAGACATGAAGTATTGATTTGCTTTTACGAGAGTGAGAGCTGTTGTTCAAATTGGGGCTTTCACTCATCTGGTAGCAGTTTCAAGTAGATACTGCACAAAAATAGTGCAGTGTCATTCCCAAAGGGCTTAAGTTCAGAAAAAATAAGTGCAAAATAACCAGTCTGAACTGTTGTAATGGCAACGTTGATCATTGGTCAGAAAACAAAGTATAAACTGTTCTGCTTTGGGAGAGCATTGGATATAATTTTGGAAATAGCATCGTCTCCATTTCGGATGCTCTTAAGTGTGCTGTTTCTGAGCAGCTAAGCTCCTGAAAGCCTCTGGAACGAAATGAGGAGAGCATCAGATCAGCCTTCCAGAAAAACAGCAGTTTACCTGCCTTATTTCTTCTGGAGAATATGGCAGTAGGTGAACCTAGCGATGTCCAGCAATTAAATAAATAAATAAGTGTGTCAAAGTTAAATGCCAGGGCTGAGGGATTCACCTTTCTATCTTGCTGTTGTTCAGCACGTGTTACTTCTGGCACTTTCTGTTTTGAGGTCTTATTTTATTACCTTCTTTCATTTGCTATGCATGTGCATCACTTCAGGCCTCCTTAAACTTTATTATTCCTGTTTAAAGTATACTTCCTGGCATGCTGTAAACCTGTATTTCACCCACAAGTGCTTTCATTTTAATGCTCATAAATCTGCTCTTGCATGACTGTGCTACCAGTGCTAATATAAATTAAGAACTGGTCAGTACTTGTAACTCAAGTGGAGTCTTGAGCTACCAACTATAAGGCCCTTAAGTCAACTCTGCTGCTAAACAACTACAATTTGTATTGCTCTTGGTAGAGAAGAAAGGCCAGTGCAAATATAGAATGGGACAGTATAATCAAACAATGATGTATTAATAGCTTTATAATAAATATAGACCAAAGAAATTCTTAAAGCAGTGGTATGGAAAGCAAAATTTGCAGACGGCTTGAGTTTTCTCCCGCTCTGTGGGTGTACTGAGCTGAGTAAAAGTGACACTTCACCTTTATGTACTGGGCTCCTGAATTGCATGTACATACTGATAATAGTCAAACAAAACAGTCCTTAAGTGGGGACAACCTTTGTTCTGTTGACTTTAAAGCGTGGTGGAGACCAGCAAGACCATGGCAGACCTTCGAAGCCTAGCTTTCTTCAGTAAAATAACTGTGTACAGTAAATACTGTTAGGTAATGCTGTGTGTTGGACTTGGGAGGTGAAGTGAAAAACTCCACCTCTTCGCTTTCATTTGGAGCAAAGCTTTTGTTATTTTGCATGCTTGAATAAATCAAATGGGTATTATCAGTACTGTGGGGGTTTTGTTGTTGTGGGGTTTTTTAATGCAAAACAGCTACTTTAGAGAAGTCTGGGGTTTTTTCTCTATGTTCAATAGAAATGAAACATTAATTTGTTCAAGACTAAGGATTTGGTTGCATAAACCTCATCAGTACTTCTTTAAGAACTCCATGCTAGCCACAGGGCTTCTTTGTTGTGGATTTATAGGGCAGTGATTTACTGAGTATTGTGAGACTGCAGCTTAAGAACGTTTGTTCTTCTAAGCTTTATAAACGGTAAAAAGGAGATGTTCTCTTCAGCTTGCATTCTGGATTCTTTTAGTCTGGTCTAGTAAAGGTATTTTTATTCTGTAGCTTAAGTATGGTTGATCTGCTGCATTCAATTCATTATCCGCACTCCATATAATTGTCAAAGCAGCAAATATAATTGATGATAAACCCCTGTGTGCTGTCTAAGCTTAGGTGTCAGACAGCTGTAGAAGTTTTCTTGGTGCAGCCTTGCTGACTTTGTTTTGGGTTCCCTCAACAAAAAGCTGTGCTCTTCTGGCATTACAAGTCTAGATACCCTCTTAAATGTGATGGAGGTACTGTTAATTGAGGAACGTACTGTGCTATTTACGCTTCAGTGGTGCAAGTGTCATGTCCATCTCCCCCACAGATGTTCTCCTGTGGAGACTGAGCAATGAGACAGCAGTGGACTTGTTCAGGCACTGTCAGCAGTGAGGGAACTGGCATCTCACTGAACCACCTTGAGTAAATACAGTTTCCTTGCAAAACAGAGGGCAATACTTCACTGTTACATAGATCAACATATGTGTATACATCTGTTCTTTTTCCTTTTATGCCTTTGAAGACTTCATGTGTCACAGGAAAATGGATTCAATTAAGTCAGGATTAGTGTGGACTACAGTAAATTAATGCCACTTCTGCCATCTTATATGCCCTCTGTACCTTTGTTAAGACTTGTTTCAGTAGCACAACTGCAACTTTTAGAATTTTGTTTTTAAAAACTACATTGTGTAGTGACAATATGTTCAGTCTGTCACGTAGTACGTTACCAATTTTGTCTAGAGTGTTTTCTGTAGCGACAAGCAAGTTGTTTTGCCTCCTCCCCTATTTTATGATATAGGTGTTTTCTTTGGAGATGGATCCAAGCAACTGAGTTCTGCTTTCTGTTTTGTTTGAACTTGAGGGATTAGGCTTTCTTTTGGAGAAAATCTGCTATTACCATACTCAGATGATAAAAACATTGGCAAAAGCTTTAACAATAGTGAGTCATGTTCTATGAATTGAGACTGGGAATGTAGTGTTTCTTAGGAAGCAGCACTCTTTGATCTTCTCCCTGCTGTTTTTAGCAAGGCAATGTTCCCTGTCAAGCAGTTAGACTAGGGTCTTTGAAAGAAACTTCAGTAGTAATCTGTAGTAAGTCTTGAAACTTGTGATATGTAACTCAATCTCAAAGAATTTATGGAAGATTTTGGTTGGAATTCTGCATGTCATCACTCATTCCTTGCTCTTTTTAGTGTAGTTCTAACTTGTATTACAGGAAAGCAAAGATCTGTTGCTACTTTGATGCTACTCCAGTCCCATGTTTTAGTGTGGACTTACTACATGAAGTTTTCACTGCAGAGGCAATTCCAAATACAACCTAGGACTCCCTGCCCCTCCTTCCCTGAAAATCGAGATTTCTTAATGGAAGAAATTCATGTCCAGGTCTATTGCTGTATAACATTTGTTTTGTGTAAAAAGCTTTATGTAACTTTTAAATGCAAAAAGCAATTTAAAAGATAACTATTTTAGTTGTACAATAGATTATTAGAAGTATGCATTTATAGTTTCTCAAATTTTTGCGTTGGAGTCTGGTAACTGTTTTTAGGATTACTTTGGAAGTGAAACCTATTTATAAAACAGTCCATTAATGCTGTTTTTAAACTCTTTTAGGGTATAAAACATGTTGATCACTTTGGCTTCATTTGCCGGGAATCTGTGGAACCTGGGTTAAGCCAGTATGTTTGCTATGTGTTCCAGTGTGCAAGTGAGTCTCTGGTGAGTATTTGTTAATGATCCTAACCTTTCAGTCGGAGGATATCTGAGGCATTTCCTACACAATGGGAGTCTGTGTTATTCTGCTGTGTCAGCTCACCTCAGTGGTTACATTTTCTCAGGTGTGAGACCTCAGTTGTGAATATGAAAATATGCAATAGGAAATGCATACATTCTGTTGATATAAAGCCTATATCCTAGTACTCTGCACATATCAATAACAAATAGCATAAATCCAGATGGATGACTTTACACATGCAGACTGTGAGCATATTTGGGCTCTATATTTGATTGTAACTCTTGCATTTCTAATTGTTGAGACACTTGGTTCCCCCATTAAATGTGCAATTACACGTATTGAATCAGTAACAAAGCTGATGATAAAACCTGAACATACTTTTCAGGGTAGAATTTAAACTACTGGCCTGATCCTGCATGTGGCTTTAGTATTTTCCCTGTAGTCTGTTTTCTTCCTCAGGAGAAGAAAATAGCAGCATCTGATCAGAGAAGAAAACCATAATATGTGTGGATGTGTGTAACTAAAAAACAGTCCATTGGACATTTAATAAAGTATGTGTCAATTGAAGTTCCAGGTGACAGTGATTTAATTGATACAGGTAGCTTAATAATAAGATGCATACAGGAAATCATTTTGGCTACTACCTTTTTATCTTAAAGGTCTGATGCTTTAAAAGAAGTTGGTTTCTGTTCTCAAACATGTTTGTTCCTGATGGCTGTGCTAATAGCTGCTAGCCTTTTTCAGCTAACCTTAAAAATCAGTCTTCTAACTAGCTGAAAATGTAATTTGTTAATCCATTGTCTAGCTTGAGAGTGAATAGATTTACATCAGTAAAACTTCAAACGGCTAACAGCCTTACACAATGCGTAGTCCAAGAGTGAGCAAAAGAGACTTTAGGGCCTTGGGACAGTTCCTGAGGGAATCTGGTGCACAGGTTTGTTTTTTTTCTCTCTCCTTCCTGTTGCAGGCAGTGACACTGGGAGAAACAGACAGACCCAGTCTGCCAGTACATGGCTCCATGGCTGGTGTCACCACCACAGTTTTGGGTTTTTCAATAATGGGATGGCCTACATGGCAGAAGACTTCCTGGCATCAAATGAGATTCACCTTTCTCAAAGGTCTTTGCCCAGGAGCTTGCAGGGCTCATTGACAGAGCTTTAAACATGGCTTGAAGGGGGAGGGGGATAATACCAGGCTTGCCTGCAACAAACTGTGGGATGACACACCAAGGTTAGAGGGACGGGGTGCCAGTCAAGGGCCCTCAGCCTGTTGCTCAGAGATGTGCTGGATACACTGCAGCATGCTTGAAGTCTTATGGAGATGAGCTAGGGGTGCCTGAGGTAACAGCAACCAACAGGGAAACACTGGTGAAATATCTCAAAGGAACTCCAGCCAGTAAGTCACCTTCATTGGGAGCCCAACTTAAATGCCTCTGTGCATCACGGGGAATAAAGAGGAGTTAGATGCATGTGCACATCTGCAGGGCTGTGATCTCATTGGCATCATGGAGACACAGTGGGATGGCTCCTATGACTGGAGTGTTGGAATGGAAGGATGCAGGCTTTTTAGGAAGGACAGGCACCGGAGTCAAGGAGGGGGTGTTCCCCTCTATGTCAATGACCAGCTGGAGTGCATGGAGCTCCACCTGCAGATGGATGAGGAGCTGACCAAGAACTTATGGGTCAGGATTAAAGGCAGGGCGGGGACAGGGGACATTATAGCGGGGGTCTCCTATAGGGCAGCTAACCAGGAATACTGAGCAGATGAGGCCCTCTATAGGCAGGTAAGAGCAGCCTCATGTTCACAAGCCCTGGTCCTTATAGGGAACTTCAGCCACCCTGATATCTGTTGGAGGGACAACACAGCAGGGCATAAGCAATCCAAGAAGTTCCTGGAATGCATTGATGATAACTTTCGCCTCCAAGTGATAGAGGATCCAACAAGCAGAGGTGCCATGCTAGACCTAGTTCTCACCAACATGGAGGGGCTAGTAGGGAACATGAAGCTCAAGGGCAGCCTTGGCTGCCGTGACTATGAAAATGGTGGAGTTCAAGGTTCTCAGGGTAGCAAGGAGCACGCACAGCAATCTCACTACCCTGGACTTCAGGAGACTTTGGCCTCTTCAGGGTCTTGCTTGGTAGAGCACCATGGGACAAAGTCCTGGAGGGAAGAGGGGCCCAAGACAGCTGGCTAATATTCAAGGGTCACCTCCTCCAAGCTCAGGAGCGATGCATCCCAACAAAGAGGAAGTCAGGGAAAAACACTAGGAGGCCTGCATGGATGAACAAGGAGCTCGTGGACAAACTCAAACACAAAAAGGAGGAAGCCTACAGAGGCTGGAAGCAAGGGCAAGTAGCCCAGGAGGAATACAGAGAAATTGTCTGAGCAGCCAGGGATCAGGTTGGGAAAGCCAAAGCCCTGATAGAATTAAATCTGGCCAGGGATATCAAGGGCAACAAGAAAAGCTTCTATAGGTACGTCAGTGATAAAAGGATGACTAGGGAAAATTTGGGCCCCCTCCAGAGTGAAATGGGAGACCTCGTTACCTGAGATATGGAGAAGGCTGAGGTACTCAACAACTCTTTTGCCTCAGTCTTCACCAGCAAGGACTCCAGCCACACCGCCCAAGTCACAGAAGGCAAAAGCAGGGACTAGGAGAATGAAGAACTGCCCACTGTAGGAGAAGATCGGGTTTGAGAATATCTAAGGAAGCTGAAGTCCATGTACAAGTCCATGGGACCTGATGAGATACATCCGTGGGTCCTGGGGTACTCTCAATCATATTTGAGAAGTCGTGGCAGTCCAGTGAAGTTTCCACCGACTGGAAAAGGGGAAACATAACCCCCATTTTTTGAAAGAGAATAAAGGAGGACCCAGGGAACTATAGACGGGTCAGTCTCACCTCTGTGCCTGGCAAGATTATGGAGCAGATCCTCCTGGGAGCTATGCTCAGGCACATGGAAAATAAGGTGGTGATTGGTGACAGCCTATTGGCTTCACTAAGGGCAAATCGTGCCTGACAAATTTGGTGGCCTTCTGAGACTGGGTTACAGCACTGATGGATAAGGGAGGAGTGACAGACATCATCTACCTGGACTTGTGCAAAGCATTTGACACTGTCACACACAACATCCTTGTCTCTAAATTGGAGAGACATGGATTTGACAGATGGACTGCTCGGTGGATAAGAAATTGACTGGATGGTCGCACTCAAAGAGTTATGGTCAATGGCTCGATGTCCAAGTGGAGATCAACGATGAGTGGCATTCCTCAAGGGTCAGTACTGGGACTGGCGCTGTTTAACATCTTTGTCAGCGACATGGACAGTGGGATCGTGTGCACCCTCAGCAAGTTTGCTGATGACACCAAGCTGCGTGGTGCGGTCAACACGCTGGAGGGAAGGGATGCCACCCAGAGGGACCTTGACAGGCTGGAGAGGTGGGTCCATGTGAACCGCATGAAGTTCAGCAAGGCCAAGTGGAAGGTCCTGCACGTTGGTCAGTGCAATCCCAAGCACAACTATAGGCTGGGTGGGGAATAGATTGAGAGCAGCCCTGAGGAGAAAGGATTGGGGGTCTTGGGGGATGAGAAGCTCAGCGTGACCCAGCAATGTGAGCTTGCAGCCCTGGAAGGCAACCGTGTCCTGGGTTGCATCAAAAGAAGCAGGTCAAAGGATGTCATCCTCCACCTCTACTCTGTTCTCAAGACCCCACCTGAAGTACTGCATCCAGTTCTTGGGGCCCCCAACGTAAGGACATGGAGCTGTTGGAGAGAGTCCAGAGGAGGGCCACAAAGCTGATTAGAGGGCTGGAGCACCTTTCCTGTGAGGACAGGCTGAGAGAGTTGGGATTGTTCAGCCTGGAGAAGAGAAGGCTCCAGGGAGACCTTAGAGCAACCTTCCAGTACCTGAAGGGGGCCTGCAGGAAAGATGGAGGGGGGCTGTTTACAAGGGTGTGTAATGATAGGATAAGGGGTAATGGGTTTAAGCTGAAGGAGGGTTGATTTAGATTAGATATTAGGAAGAAATTCTTCCCTGTGAGGGTGGTGAGGCACTGGAACAGGTTGCCCAGAGAAGCTGTGGCTGCCCCTGGCTCCCTGGAAGTGTTCAAGGACAGGTTGGATGGGGCTTTGGGCAACCTGGTCTGGTGGAGGGTGTCCCTGCCCATGGCAGGGGGGTTGGAACTAGATGATCTTTGAGGTCCTCTGCCAACTGAAACCATTCTGTGATTCTGTGTACAATGGTAGCTGAGGCTGCACTTTAATCAAAATAGGAGCTTGTTATGAAATCAGCTGTCTTTGTACTAACAGAAAATGTTACATCTGACCTGTTGATGAATTTGACCGTGCATAATTCAAAGACTTAAGATGTGGTATATAAAGAAACCACGTATTTATGAACCTCTTTACGTATTCTAGTACTGATATGTGTGGGTATGCCCATGTTGCAATGTGAAATGAGCGTTCCTGAGCTACTTTCAGGTGCAATCACTTGGACCTCAGTGACAGTTTGACTGTGGCAGGGCAAAGCTGTAAAACCTACTGCTTTCTGGATTCTGTGCTGCCCGGGAGGCTATGTTGCTAGTCTTGTGTATATTTGCTCCAAACCTAGCTACAGACTGTGCTACAATTCTCATGATTTTAGTGTAGTCATAATCCTTATGCTTAGCACTCTTCTGTGGATCTTCCATTTGAGAGGCATTGTTACCAACTTGTAAAAATTATCAGTCTGTTTTGCAAGATGTATATTCACTGTTCAATGTCCTGCTTTATTACTAAGAAGAGAGAGCACTCAGAAATTCCTGTTAGTGCTTAAAACGGTAGGGTTTAAAAAAAATTAAATAAATAAACCCTAAACTTATTGGGACACAAACTAATTCAAATTTTCCCATCCAGATGCCCTTTTTAAATTTCATTTTGTTTTTGTTTTCCAAGTGACAGACTCTCAAAAAAGTCTGTGTGTTTTCAGTGTTAGACTGCGTGATTTTGATCTCAAATATTTCAGCTTGGAGCTTCTTGCTTACTAAAAAAGAGAAAAAAAGCAAAGGTAAGAGCAGGGACCTGATTCTGAAGTAGAATAGTGATTTCTTTCCTAAGATTGTCTTCAAGCTGCTGTTGTCTTCTTTCCATGCTAATGCAAAGACTCAATTAAACAGCTTTTATAAAGCATTGTATTCCCCTAAAATACAGACAGGGGAACTGCAAATGCTTTGTATGTAAAGTGTGGGAGTGTATTTGAATGAGCGCAGAGAAACGCTGTCACCTCTGACCTTTCTTGCGTCCAAGTTGAGATTTTCCGGTGCTGATGTGTGGGAACATAGCACTGCTGTATTTGTGGTAGTGGCGGAGGAAAGATCAGGGCAGGCTGGCAGTACTTAGAGATAAGTTGATGGCTACAATGAAGCTGGTAGCCAGTCTAGTAGGCTGGAGAAAAGTGAATGACTATGAGAAGCTCCTGTCTGCCAGCAAGATGGGTCTGTGGGGTTTTGTGCTAAAATGGTACATTTTTGTTTATATATCGTCTTTTCCCTCCCTCCCCTTTAGGTTGATGAGGTAATGCTTACCCTGAAACAAGCCTTTAGCACTGCTGCAGCTCTGCAAAATGCCAAGACGCAGATTAAACTGTGTGAGGCCTGTCCTATGCATTCATTGCACAAACTTTGTGAAAGAATTGAAGGTAGCAGCTGAGTTTATTTTCTAATTCTGTTTTTCTGATTATTCTAGAAGAATTTTACTATATCTGTTAATTTTAATTATGTCAACTATGTGCTTTCAATTTAAACAGTGTAAGAGCAGAGGGAAAAGTATCCCAATAAGCAATTCTTACCATCACTTTGCACTCTCTGTAATCACACGTGGGTGATAGCAGTAATGATATTGTAACTGAATATAGTAGAGCTTGTGTTATAAATAACATACTCTTTCGTTGTCGTACCTCTCTTAAATGTTAAGCAGAGTAGAAAAACCTGCCAGTTAATCTTCTTTTTCTTTTTCTTTTTTTTTTTTTTTCTGAAGATGCATGCTTTCAAAATGGATCAAAATGTCAAAAGACAGTTGTGGTCAAAAAGGGTCTTGCTTTTTCATGTGTGTGTTCTTTCTTGATGGGGTCATTTTTTTCCTTCTTTGTTTTTATTCTCTTGCACACTTCAAAATCTAGTTCTATTATGGGAAATAAATGATTAAGTTAGGAGATTAGTATCTAATATAAAAGTGAAGGCAGCTGCCTGGCTTCAAATATGAATACACAAACCTTTGTAGTTTTTCTGGAACTAAGGTATGCCAGAACACATGCAAGAAAATCTTACAAGTTAAATCTTTAAAAAAGTTAGTAGCAGGATCCTATTTTTATAGTTATTCCACTATTTTTTCTTGCAAAGTGTTGTATGTAAAAAACCCAAATATGTTACACTAGTATCTTCTGGTGATGATGGTGCTGATAATTGCCAGTTCTCCTCTTCGTTAAAAGTTACTTGCTACTTATCTCCCTCTGGTGGATGAAAAGCAAAGTGTGAAATCTTAGTGGAGTGAAATTCTGTTAGGTCGTGACTTGTATTTTCCAGGTTTACAACTGATAGTCAGAAGTGATAAAGCTTAATTGGGAAAGTCTTCTGTCAATGAAAAACTATAGAGGCTGCTGTATAAGGCAATGTAAGTATCTTGAATATAGGTACTTGCAAGCCTGGAATGAGTATCCAGGATCAAAATAAAATCTCTTCTAGGGTAACAACTTGAATACCGTAGTAGTATTTTCATAAACTTTTTACTTAGTGACTGAAAGACTTATTTTAGTGTCCCTTTCTTTTTATCCATCTGCTTTGTTTAGTCTGGAAGTTTATGACAATCAGACCCGGGGCTTTGTGACTTTGGGAAATATTGATCTGTTCTGATTGCAATTCTCTACGAATTATACCTACCTTGGATGAAAAAAAACCCATATATCTTCATCTGATTCAGGGGATTTGTTTTGCCCACAGTTTTTTTCCTAGAACAAGCTCTGTGAGCAAACTTACACTTTATCGAACATCAGAAATTCTCTTCTTTATTCTTACGGCTTTTATGCTGCTCTTGCTTTTAAGTGTCTTCAATTCTCTGGTCTGACCTATAACCCTACCCTTTTGTTGTATGGAAATGCATCTAAACTTTTCAATTAAAAGCATCTGAAAACTTCTGAGCATCTTGTGCATTGAGTATCTTTCTAGTTATATCCCTGATCTGTTCCTCTCTTCCTCCTATCCCATACAGTTGTCAGGCTTCCATCTTAGTGATCTCATGCTACTAGGACAGAAGACATCAGTGGGGTGGAGAGTGTAACCTGTTACACAGGAGCCAGCCACTTAACTGCTGCTAGTTCTGTTTTTCTGCTAAAGAAAGGAGACAAACCCATGTGGTTTAGCAAAACCTGAAGTATTTTGTATCAGGTATACTGTACATATACAACTGTCATACAATAAACTTGTACAAATGCAAATGCAGGCTTATATCTTCTACTACCATTTTTTCAAAAGTTTTTTGAGAGATCATTTGAGAATCTAGAAGCTTTAACATTCCTTTCGTTTCTCAGGACTCTATCCACCGAGAGCCAAACTTGTAATTCAGAGACATCTGTCGTCACTAACTGATAATGAGCAAGCGGACATTTTTGAGCGTGTTCAGGTAATACGTTAGATGCTGTTGTGTCAAATTTGAAAAAGACTGTGATAACAAAACAATCAAAAGAAAAACATCTAGTCCATTTTATGTAGTTGATCTAGAATTTATTATTGTTCCACCAAATATCATACTGAAATAGCATGCTCCAATTGAACCTCCTGTGTGATATACTGCTTCTGGAAAAGTTTTGGTTCCCAAGTCTGCCGAGATGTTCTGCGTTCATACACAGAGTATTTTTTTTCTGAGCTTAGTTCTTCATCTGTAAATGCATTTCCCTACTTGAAAGTGATGTGGGGATGAGTTGAGAGTGGGTGAGATATGCAGGTATCAGAGGTGGTTGGTGTTTGCAGCTCTCTGACTTATTCTGAGGCAAGAAGTGTATGCAATTGTACTCAAGCAGATGAAGTGTACAGTAATTTAGGCTTCCAAAGGCTGTGCTCCTCGCTAGCTTCCTGAAGAAGGGAATGCCTGTTTGGTGTTTTGTGGGTTCCTTATTCCATTTATAAGGATATACAAAGACAGAAAACCTTAGGGAACAAAATGTGGGGCATAAAGCTCCCTCCTCTCCACAGCCTGTAACATTCTCCATATGGAAAGCTTTGGTCTGTTTTGTTTAGGAACATGAAGGCACGCAAATTGTAGTGCAATTTGACACGCTGATGGTGCACTCTGGCATCTGGCATATCAATACATTAACTTCAAAGAATATATACATATGGCAGGGAAAATAAGCAAATCATGACTTGAAAGACAACTTTTTTTCTGTTTGCTGTTACTGACAGAAAATGAAGCCTGACAATGACCAGGAAGAAAATGAACTTGTGATCTTACATCTACGCCAACTCTGTGAAACTAAGCAGAAAACACACGTTCACATTGGTGAAGCACCATCGGTAAAGCTTATTTTTGTACTATTTCTCTTCTTCCTCCTACCCTATTCAAATACAACCTTGAATAGTATCAGGGTCATTGCTACAGTTCATCAGGGGTAGCTGAAGCTTGGTATTGTAATTAAAAGAGGACTGTGAAAGAGAAGTAATTTGATTTGATTTACAGTGATATGCTTGGAGTTTTTTAAGTTTGGGGGGGGCAGGAAGGGAGGGAAGACACAACCAATTATTTTTAGATCTAGATTTCCTTACAGTGTAAGGATACCTTGTCTGTCCTTACTCCCAAACAGTCGTTTCAGGGGGAGTAGGAATTAAGAGGGTATTGGTTTCAGTTTAAACTACAAACTTATCTAGCAAAGGAAATGAGTAGCAGTATTGTTAAATTAGTATGTTTTTACAAGATAGTCTTTAGGGATTAAATAAGTCTTTAACTGTGGGGGTTTTTTTTGGGGGGGGTTGGGGTTTTTTTGGGGGTGTGGCTGGGTTGTTTTTGTGGGTGTTTTGTTTTTGGGGGGGAGTGTCGCTTGTTTTTATTTTTTTAAAGGCCGAGGGTATGTTGTTTGTTATGTAACTTGATTCCACTCTAGTCTTTGGAGGTCTGCAATTGCAAAAAGAATTGCCAAAGCTGAATTGTGTCCTTGCTTATTTCAACAGACCATTTCTAACAGTGCGATTCCAGAAAGCACTACTAGTGGTGGCAGGTTTAAACTTGACATTCTGAAAAACAAGGCCAAGAAATCCTTGACTAGCTCTCTGGAAAATATCTTCTCAAGGGTAAGATCAACTCATTGTCAGCAGCTCTCCCAAGTATCCTTGACAGTAAAGACCTATCAGACATTTATTTTTTTCTTTGTTTTTTCTCCTCAGTCTGATAAATACTTAATGAAGCGATATCCCTGTTGTGAAATCTGAGGGTTATAGCTGGGTTGATTGTGACTTAACTGTACTAGAAAGTTTATGGTAACGCCACACATACAGAGGGGAAAAAAAGGCAACTTCTGAATAATGAATGCTGATTGAAGGTAGCAAATGAGTTAGCTGAGCATTATCAAATGTGTTGCTTCAGTATAAAAAAAATCATCAGGATGGTTGCATGATCCCATAAAGAGGCATGTTATCTTTTTTGAAAGTGTGACTAAGTATGCCTGCATAAACTGGAAATCATTCTGTTCTGAGACGTAATGCCTTATCTCTCATAGCTAAAATTACTCATATTGGTCACTAAGAATCTTTAGAAAGTAGTAACAAAGTTGTCCTTTTACAGGAGGAAAAAATAAAGGCAATAGTTTTTTTAAAAGTGAGTTGTTCATTTCAGTCTTACTAGCCAGGTATGATGTGGAATTGCAGATAATTACTGGAACTCTCTTATATTAAATAGCCTTTTAAAGGAGAAGTGTGAATTGCAAGTTTTGCTTAGTGTCCCCTGCTCAACAGGGAGAGTCCTGAAAGCAGAGAAGAGGCATATAGAGGAGTAACTGAAGAAGGCTGGGTGCCTGCGATACAGTATGTCGTTACAGAGAAAGTGTGGTGAGCTGTGAATATTGGATGGCGAGGTCTAAATATAATTTGGAGCAGTGAAATTAAGTTTCTTCTGCTTGTAATTTTAAAAGTACCATGCTAAATCAAGGCCTAAATTGCACTTGTCCTGCGGCTTATATGGGTATGGTATAAAGTAACCTGCAAATGTAGGATGCCACAGATGTTCCCTATAAAGGAGGCAAAATACTGTTTACCAGGGAGAATCCTTAGAACTGTTTGTACTTAAGGTTAGATGTGAATTTGACCTAGGACTAAAGCTAGCGTTAAAACTCTCTTGGTCAAATCTGGCCTATGTTGTGTAGCAAGTTTTACACACTAGGGACTTGATCTGAATAGAGAGAGAGTGAGTGCTCAAAAGAGCGATGACAGTCAGAAGATCTGGATAATTTCAGCAGTCTGGAGTATCATCAAATGGTGACAGCTACAGTCATGCATCTGCTGAGTCTGATTTCTTTTCCACATCTAAAAGACATGTGACTGGAAAGTGATCTAGCTCTGACGGTGGGTCACTAACCTTGCGGTACATCACTGGAAATAACACAGTAAAGCAGCCCTGCCATATGCGGACATACTAGCACACTGATCAAGTCAAGGAAAAATCATTTAGATGAAATACCCTGCTTAAGTTGAAGAGTCTCCAAAGGGAAATTGCTAATGTATTGTTGGTTTTGATATAATATGGTCCTTCTCACCAGGGCCACTGTGACACACTGCGTGTTACAGTATAAAGATCTACACAGTCCATGATTGAGTTCAAGTGGACACCTGAATCTGGATTAGGGCCATTTTAAGTTTGCTATTTATGAAGCAGACTTGCTGTTGTGAGGAAGGTTGGCTCATCTTTAACTTCAAACTGCAAGAGATCAGCAACAGCAGTATGTTGTAGTGAATCATGATACAAACAGGGCTTCATCCTTGCAGATCCATTTAAAGGTTACACAATGCAAGACCGAGAGAAATAATTTACAGTGCAGCTCAACCACTAATTATTTTGTTAAAGCAGATATACATGACGAGCGTCTCTCTGCCTGTATACTGTTACATGCATATGTGTGTTCTACAATGAGTGTTTCAATAGTTATTATTCTTCATCAGGCTATTACAACAAGCCTAATGGATTGTGGCTAATTCCTAAAGGTATTTAGGTACCAAATACCTATTGGCGTGGTGGGTTTTCCCCTCCTTAAGCCAGCTGCAAATTACATGGTATTGATGTAATGGGATGCTAATTATTGCACGACTTAATCATCTTTATTTTAAAGTATATTTAGTAACAAAGAAAGTGGGAAGAAATTCAGGGTTTTTTTTTAAAGTTGACATTCAGCATCTTTTTGTAGATAAAAAAAAATAAGTAAAAAAAAGTGAAAGTCAGTATATGTGGGGGAGATACTTACACATCCTCAATTTTAGCAAAATTAGAAATAAGTAAGTAGTAACCACGTATCCAGGATCATTTTAAGTGGATGGCTTCTTAGCTAGATAAATAGCATCAAGTGACATCTTAAGCTACTTGAAGGAGTAGCTGCTCACTAATCACCATAGGGAAACATGCTGGGTTCTGTGCTCTGGCTTCCCTTAGTCCCAGAGGAATGTCACTTTTTCACTTGTTTGTGTTGCTGGACTGATCTTATTTTTGTCAGGTTTGAACTGAAAACAGGCTGTGGCTTCCTAATGAGGTACCTCAGAAAAATAAATATAACCTCTGTTTGACCTTATGAACAGATTTCTTCCAGTCCATGCTGCACTAACCTCTTCTGTTGTTGTTTTTTTCTGAACCAAAAAGCCATTCTTACAGTGCCAAACGTGTGTGCTCTAAAGCTAGTGAGAAACTTCCATGTTATCCTTTGCTTTTGTTTTGTTGTGAGGTCATTGAAGAGATGCTTCAGGCAGAGTATTCATTGGTAACGAGCTTAAATGGGGTAATGTACTTAAAGGGAACTCTAAGTCTTGAAAATAAACCTTATCAGGAAAAAAAATAGGCTAAATAAATACTGCTGATGTTGACAAAACTTCCCCTGTAGTTGCAAGCATACCAAGAGGAGTTCTGCCTATAGTTTTCCTAAAACCTAGGCTATTTTTCACCTGATACAGTACTGAAAGCAACTTATTTCAGCAGTTGGAAGTGGCCAACAGCATACATCACCCATGTTTCATGGGAGTTAGTTAGGAGTGGAAGGTAATCGGAAGTATTGCGGCTCTGTCACTTCTTCTTGTGAAACCAGATGACCATCAACCATTTCAGCAAGGATCTGCTAATGCTAATATCTAGCAAATTTTCCTCAGGGTTATCTGCATTATAATTGAAAAGGCTTGTTTGTATCTGGTGCTATTTGGCTGGATTTGCAGCCAGAGAGTGTTTTTTCCCAGTTTTAGTGCTTTCATTACTTTTTCTGAGGTGGAATTAATTTGTCTGAAACATCTAGATATGGAGTAAACTCTCTGTGGAGATCATAGTATGTCAGACATGTCTGTTAGCTGCAGTGCATGTGCAGTAGTGAAGTCGGGAGCTTTTTGAACTCTGCTGTTTAAGCCTACTCAGCTGTTTGCCTCAGATGGATCAAGAAATACTCATTTGCTTCAGACAACAGAGCTGCAGGTTTAAAACTCCTGGGAGCAAGTGGGGAGAAGATATGATTTTGCCAGCTAAAGATGTCACTGCTTGTGGAATCCAGTGCTTGGCCCACAATCTGCGATCTTAGGTCAAATGTGTCATGTGCCTGAACTGTCCTGTGTTCACCTGCACAGCTGTTGCCATCTTTGCTTAACCTTCAGAAAAAGAGAAAAAAGACTAGATTACATTACTCATCTTTTTTCTTGCAGGGAGCCAACAGAATGCGAGGCCGCCTGGGAAGCATGGACAGCTTTGAGCGCTGCAACAGCCTTGCTTCTGACAAAGTACGTAAGGAGCTTAGTTAAAATTGGCACGTCGTCACGCATGGGTGTTAAACATAAATATGGCACTCTGCTTCAATTTGAAGGAAGTAGCACAAAGCACATCAATTTAGAAAACTCAAATAAGAGTTTCCACTGGGAGGCAGAGGGTGTAAGAAACCTGGCATATATGTTGACTTGAAGCTTCAGCTTTAATCTGTTGTTGGATTGCCAGTCCTTTTTTTCTGTACTTCCCTTGTTTTTACAAAAAGCAGGGAATTTCTGGTCAGCTTCTGCCTTGTTTTGCTGAAGTAATTAAAAAAAGGTCATATCTCAACGAGAGGAAATGCTCTGAAGGTGAAGAATCCTTTCTGTAAGTAATAGTTGCTTTAGGGAAGTAAGAATTTTTGACCTAAACCCAGCTGTTGGGGATGCTGTATGGGGGCGAGCGGGCGGAACTCTGTTCACTTTCTTTTTATTTCCTGTTTTTAATGTTTTACCTCATGTGGGGATTGGTTGCTAGTTTTCCCAAGAGGTGAAGATTCTGTTATGGTTTTCCTGCTACAGTTACTCATAAGCTGGCTGTGTAATAACAGTCTCTCTTCCAGGATATCGCTATGACGGTACCGGAAGTATGCTCACGATATGTCGAGGAAACTAGCTAAAAGCAGTTTCCCTAGTCTTTTCAATTCCTGTATTTTCCTGAAAGAGCCAGAAGTCCGGTAGCTGGAATGCCAGTCCCTGTGAGAGGATGCCTAGAGTAATTAGTGTGTTGTTTGCATTGTATATATATTTTTATTCCTCCCTCCTCTTTTTTCTTTTTTTCTTTTTTTTAAAGAAGGACGCTGCTGGTTCAGAGTAAATTATCAAAGGATGTCTGGTTTTGGTGATAATTAGCATACAATAGGCCATGACCAAGAAGGGGGAGAGGCTTTGGTGCCCCGATGCGGCGCACGACCCGTGGGGTTAGGCGAGAGCTTTCGCAGGGCACAGGGCGGCAGGCCTCACTCCGCCGGCACTTCCTTTCAGGACTTTTCACCGGGTGATTCCCCACCAGCTACTCCTCCGGCGTCCCCCGTGTCCTCGGCCTGGCAGCCTTTTCCCGAGGAAGACTCTGACTCCCCCCAGTTCAGGAGGCGTGCGCACACCTTCAGCCACCCCCCCTCCAGCGCCAGGAGGAGGATAACCTTCCAGAACGGGAGATCCCAGAGCGTCCGGTCCCCACTGCTGCGGCAGAGCTGCGTCGAGGCGACAAGGTGAGCCGGGGCACGCCATGCCATGCGCCTGCTGTCTCCTGCAATTTCAGTACATGAGCTTCACCCGTGTTCCTTCTTAGGAAGCTGTTTCTGCACCGCTCGGGGTTTTATTTATTTATTTATTTGCAGTCTGTCTTCTCTGCCTCCAAGTAGTTTGGTGCTTTGCAGTAACTCGCTAATCCCTGAATTAGTGATTCAGGGGAAGCAACAATCCAACAAATTGATTGTTGGGCTGGATGCCAGTGCCGATCTATTTATTTACTTATTTGTCACCTCCGAGCTGAGTCTTTTTGACAGTGTTGATAGTCAGGCCCTTTGGAGAAGAGGTCCTCGCCACTTTTAATTGCCGAGACGGTAGTGTGACGATTTTATGCCAGGATTAAAAAGGCACCAACAACTTCAAGTGTCTGTTGGTGTGTTAGCCAAAGCTTCCAGAGAGTATGTCCAGAATTAAAATCAATGAGAAGTCTTACAAAAGGACTGAAGGTTTAAACATCTCCACCGAATTTCCGTGTTTGCCGTGCTCCAGAGCTTCCCTCCGTAACTTCTTTCCCCTTCCTTTTTGGAGACTCTCCAGTTATTAACATGTGGAGCACTGTTCCTTCAGGAGTTCCTTCACTCAGTCAGAAGAGGTCCCCACAGTTCCTTGCAAGCCTCTTTGGTTGTACTTTCTTTCTCTGCCTCCATCCTGGCTATCTGTAGTAAGTGGCCATGCAAACTCCAAAACCTTTGCAAGATTCAGGCCCAGATGAGCTGATTTTTTTAATTATTTTTTTTCTGTTGGAGGAGCACTTTCTCCAAACTGCTTGTCTATTTCAGTGCTTGGCTGCAATTATGCTTTTTCTGGGCTCTTTCTAAAAATTGCTTTAAATAATAATTTCTCACCCATTTGTCTAGATTAAAATATCAGTGTGAGTGCAGCACCACCTTGTAGAGAAAGGCAAAAAACTTTATTCTGTTTAAGAGAATGGAAGGGGTGAAGGGTAAGAAACTAGCCTTGAAGTAGCTTTGTTACATTGTGTTTCTGAAGAGATAAATAATGTGGTTTTTACTGAGATAAACTTTGGTTATTTTTTTTTTTCCCCCCACTGACCATGTTGTATGCAAACAGGAAACCCTGACAGTTCAAACTGAAGGACTTGCTGACTTAACTTCTTTGTAATAATTTTTAAGAAGTTGCTGATTAAGTGGCATCATCAGCAGATTTTCAATCAAAACAGTTTGTAACAACTTGGTTCTAGAATGGGATTTTTCCTTCTCTCCTTTTGAGGGTTAGTAAAAAATCTTAAGTAAAAGAAACTGAATTAAATTTATGTCCTCCCGAACACTTGTTGCTATTATTAAGTAATGTTTAACTGTGTAGGACTATCTGTCTTGATTTAACCACTTCAAAACAATGTATCCAAAAAATATGGCATTTAAATAATCTATTCTTTGTAATGTGTTCTAGCAATACACATTATTTACAAAATACAGAAAACTGAAGGGAAGAAACAAGGTGGTTCATGTTATTGGAAGCAAGTTTTTAGGCTATTTTCTGAATGTTTCAGAGATTCTGATTTTGCTTTGAGAATAAATAAGGCTAAAGAAATAAGGTGGTCTACCTGTTCTGCAATGGCATTGAAATCTTTCTTAAAAGAAATCAGCTGTAACAGGAAAATCGATATCATCAGGGAAACTGCCCAGTAGTGCATTGGTACATTTTATCTTCTGGGAAACAAAGTTACCGTAAGCCAAGACGAAGTACTTGGCCACTACCTTTAATCTGGATGTTTTGTCGTATCTGAATCCAATGCTGACCCATCTGCTATGTTGTCTTGTTGCCCGCACAGTCCTATTGTCGGGGTTCAGCGTGCTCTCAATGAGAGTGAATCTGCATCATCTGGTCTCCCCTCCTCTGTCTCTGCCCCTTCTTTCCTGAAAAGCTTTTACCAGGGCACAGGAAGGTTGCTCCAGCCCTCAGAAAGTGACCTCTCCAAGAGGTGAGAGTGTTCTGCCTAGTTCTTCAGTGCCACCAGCTTAATATCAGGATTCCCAATGCAATGCAGCGCATAGGATCACTCCCACTCTGCCTTGTGCTCCTGCTTTTCTAACAGACTTCCTAAGTACTTGGTGCAAATGGGCGAACAGGCTTTTGGCCAAAAAAGCCTGCTAAAAACAGAGAGTTGTCTGCTGACATCTAGTAGCTGTGACCTATTTTTGCTGCAGTGTTGCAAATCTGCTGCATTGGTTTGTCACTTGAAATGCAATGGTTTTTAGCAGTGTCACGTCAATTTAATGCTTTCTCTGTTGAATGCAAACCAGCATGTTTTGCTGTGATCACTGGCATGTGAAAATAAGAGCAACGTGAAGAGTGTACAATACTAACATGGGATGTCTGTGCATGAGGAAGGGAAAATGCCAGGTTAGCTGGGTGGTACCAGCTGTGAGATGTTTAGAGAGAATTAGCAAATAACTTCCAATTGAAGAGGAGTGGGGAAGCAGCGAAGAGACAAGAAGGGCTTTCTGACATCAATGTGAAAGACTGAGTATCTGAATGGAAGTCACACTTCTTTTTACTCTAAGAATAGGCTCCCCTTCAGGAGGGTGCTTGAGGAAACTGCGTATGCGTTATGTTTCTGAAGTAGGCCTGTAGTGAGTAAGGTGGAGCCATAGTTTTGAGCTTCATAATGTTTTTTTTTGTCAGTTGCTGGCCTTTTCATTTCTCTTCTGTCAATGACAACTCCTTTTTCCTTTGTCAGTCTGTCCTTGTTCACTGAACTGTACTTGTGATTCTGGTACTCTTCATCTCTGAGTGTGGCTCTCTCCTAATTGTTCCCAACAGAAACCTGTGGAGTTGTAGAAGGTTCTTTTGTGACTGTTTCTCCCTGGAAAAATAGCAGCAGATTGCATTGTTAACAAAACCAAGTGTTGATGAGATCTGAATTCTGGGTGTGTGAGGACTAATACATGGGGATTTCAGTTCTATGAGATGGGTGTGGAAGTTTTTAGGGGTGTCTAAAGATATTTTTTCATCTCTTGGAATGCAGTTTCATTAAACACAGATTAGTTTGTCATCTCCATTTAGGGCAGACTGTAAGAAATTGTGTAAATATACAAACTAATGTGAGGGGCAATTGACCTGAAGGTGGCTTTAAGGTTCAATTTGGGTTAGTAATCTCTAGTAATATATAGGTTAGAATACAAAGTCTGTATCATCTTAAGCACACTGTATCCTGCCTTGATTTCACTGACATTTAAAGTGTCTCTGGCCTCTAATCTGTAATTGGTGTACAGCATGCAGCCAAAAACTGTAATATAGACACAAATACAAAATACCTAGAGTGAAATTTCTACAGTTTAGTCCTTCCAGCAGAACAAACTTGTGTATAAGTGGAATAAGGTGAGATGTCGTTACAGGAACGTGACTGCAGAGCCTTAGTGACAGGACCCCTGCTTTAATATTGCCTGTTCTAAACCTTGTGTCCAGTAATAGTTACTATATACGTGAATTGGATGCCTAGATTTTCAATTCCCTACTACACTTACTACACTGCAGTACCACTAGACTACATAGCAGTTGAATTATTAAACTTGAAATTAAAGAAATGAATGAGTGCACACCAGGGTGTGCAGAGAAATGGCAAAAAAATAACCTGTCTCTTGCAGACTATCTCTTATTTGGGTTCTAGTCCAATTTTTTTTCTGTGTTCCCTCCAGTTAGCAGACTTGGTCCAAGCTGAACCAGTGCCCTGATCGGTTTGTACAGGCAGCTGGATCCCATTAAACCTAGCTTTCTGGATTTGAGGAATGTAGGTATTGAGTATTGTACTAAAACTGTACTTTAATGCCAGCTAATTCCAAGCTGAAATTTCTGAGATATTACTCTTTCTGAATTGGTTATGCACACTAGTCGAGATACCACGTTTCATTATAATGGAGGTTTGAACTGTAAGGTAGGGAGATCTTCAAATTTGGAATAATTCCCAGAAGATCACCCTGTTTCTACTTAGGTTTTATAGTATACAGGTTTCTGATACCATTTAATCTTGAATTTGTGAGAAAACTCCTGTGAAAATGGGATCTCATTAGGTATAGATCTTGCTGGGAGCAACTAGGCCTGAGCTGTCATGGGAAGGAAATTGCAGTAGCAAGAGTAAAGTGTTGGCATCTAGTTGGGTTCATGAAGTGATACAACAAATATAGTCAGAAAGAAGTGCCAAATGAATAATGTTGATGTGATAGAGTGACTGAGGTAATCTGTCACTTGAACTGGCTAATGGAGAATGAAATATATTGTCCAGCTGATGATGGCTGAACTTCTTTAAGCTTTCCCTGATTTAGCTTGCAAATGTGAGTTGTGCCATCAGGTTTATGAATGAGAGGAAGTTCAAATTTTTTACAGCGTGGTTTTTCTTGTGGGTTGGTTTGTTGGTTTGTGTGTGTTTGTTTGCTTTTGGGTGGGGTGTGTCGTGTGTCCCCCCCCCCTTGGCTGTTTTTCAGAGAAGACCATCTTCTATCCCAGTAGGCTCAATGCAAAGTGTTCTTAGCATTCTCGTGTGAGTGTATGTGAAGTTGAAATTGAGCACAGTGTGGCAGTCCTTTACAATCTGAAGACTATAGCTGTTTAACTATTAAGAACCCTAATTAAACCTTCAGTGCGTTTTCCTCTCTAAGAGTAATCATGGTTACTGTGCATTCATGAAGTGTATCCTAGCCACATTGCACTTGAGAAAAATTCTTTATCATCTGACTTTCCATGTCATGTAGCTTTGAGATTACACATGATGCAGTAGGCAGCTTTTCTTGGTGTTCTGCTGAACTCTGATGTGCAGGAACCAGAGCCAGTTTCAGTTGGAATTAATTTTAGAAAGGTGTTTGCTTTGTAGCAGTCAGATGGGCCTATGCAAATAACACCAAGCCAGAGTCAGCTGTGGAGCTGGGTGTTAAAAAGCAGTTCTGCTTATTATATATGTGTCTTTATGTAATAACCACTGTATAGAAGATGATTCTGATCCATG